GGCTGTGTGACCTGAAAACTGTTACTACACCTACTGAGAGTATGGCTTGTCTGTTGGAAAATGGGGGTACTTACTACTGGGATTTTAGGAACCCATACAAATCTTGCATCCTTGAGTTCTGAACTGAGTGTGAGAATGATGGCAGTTGAAATACTGATAAAGACGTCTGGAGATATGACTTAAGGCTCAATGGCCAGTTGGTCTTATTAAGAATCTTGTGCTAAATCAGTGGGAATAGGAGGAGTGGGAAGGGGTTTCCCAGTGACTCAGACAGTAAAGAATCTGCCGGCAATGAAGGAGATCCGGGTTCGATCCCTGGGTCTGGAAGATTTCCCCTGGGGGAGGAAATGGCTTCCCACTCCAACAGTCTTGCCTTGAGAATTCCATGGACAGAAGAAAAGCCTGATGGGCTACAGTCCATGGACGTGCAAAGAGTAGGACACAACTGAGCAACTAACACTTTCACGTTCATGAGGAGTGCGAATACAACGCCCCTCAACACCTACCTACTCAGGACTTTAGCACGGCCTGATTTCATTGAGGTAGACCATCAGTAAGTCTTAGCTCTCACTCCCCTCTCTCCATCAGAGTTTGGATATTCTGTAAATCAGCTTCGGTGAGCTTATTAGCTGGGACTGGGTTAGCTAGGACTACAAGGCCAAAATAAAAGAACCTCAACCAACAACTCTTTGGTACCAGATAGGAAAGGGCTTCGTTAATGCTGGAACCAGGTAAGAAAGGGATTGTTGTGGGACAATGTTTGGGAAGCTCATCTGAAGAGAGAATGGGCTCCTAGGAATAATGCCAGACTGAAACGGAAACTTTCCTGGGCTTGATGAGCTTTATTAGGCTCTGGTGATTTCCTTATTGAAGTGTCAAGGAGAATAATTCCAGACAAAAATGGTGCCATCTAAAAGAGGCCATCATGTGAGTGTCAGAAAGAGGCTTATTTTAACTATTTTTAAAAGTTTATAAGATTCCTAAAACCTTGGTACCTCCACCCCTCTTTGCTATTTTTATTACCATCGGTCTGCTCTCCTGTAATGATTAGCCAGAAAGCTCTTAAAATGGAAAGGACTTGTGTGCATATTTTCTGTGGCAACAAAGAAAATGGCAGTGAGGTGCCAGATGAGGGGGGAGGAGTGGGTTGTAGCAGCCCACAGGCCATGTCTCAGGAGTCTGGGCGAGAAAGAAAAAAACAGTGGAGTGGTGGAATGGAGATGGGAGTAGGGGCCAATGGAGATGTCCTGGACTCTGCCAGGACAGAGAGATCACCCTAGGGTTTTTTGGATTTTTCGGTGGGGGGGAGGGAGGGATAGAGCTGCTTTACAATGTGTTAGTTCCTGCTGCAGAGTAACGTCAATCAGCTATATGTGTACGTATACCCTCTCTCTTGGACCTCCCCTCTCCCCATCCCATTCGTTTAGGTCACTGAGCTGAGCTCCCTGACCTATGCAGTAGGTTCCCACTAGCTAGCAAGAGACCCATGTACAGATTTCTTGAATGTGCTGGACTGAAATTAATGTTTATAATGACATCTAAAAAAAACTTCCTAATTTAAAAATAAAATAACTTTTTCAGCAAGTTATCTTGACATTATAGATTTTTAAAATTTGGTTAAGATTCTTGAATCCAATAGATCGAATACTGTGAGAATTAATTTATAAATCTTAGATGTCAGAAAATTAAAAGGTTTCGTGAGTATTGGATAATACTTGTATATACATTAGCTTTCTGTGGATCACTTGACTGCCAGTATTTCATCTTAAGAGTGGCAATTAAGAATGAGAAAACATCCCCCAGCCCACACTACCCCTGGCTTGGAATCCACTAAAACTTGTGGGATGAACATTTTACCCAAATATAAACCTTTTAGTGATTAAGTTAATTTACTCTTTTCAAACTGTGACATCCTGTTTATAAGAAAGAAAACTTATAAAAAGTCATCTTGAGCATGAACTAACTTCTAAAATCAACATTTTGGTGAACTTATGTGTTAAGTGAGTCACAACTATTTGGATGAGGACTTTCTGGTTTTGAAAGAGAAAGTACTTGGGAAAAAATGTCATTTTGGTTTCTTTGAAATGGAAACATTTAAAAAATGGAATTCACTAGTGAGCCTATCATGTAACAGATTTCCACACACATTTCCTAAGTCACTTCTGTGAATTTGTAGCACTGCATCCCCCATGGGCCAAGTCTTAACCATCCCAAGATGCATTTAGCCTTTATAGTCCTTCCCAGAAATGATATTAAAAATGCTGCACAAGGTAAATTTTTTACAATATTTTGCAGGTAAATATTACTGACTTTATAAACTGAACCTTGAAAATTATTCTTTGTCCCCAACAAAGGCTGAACTTGTATCTGTTCCTATTATTTGCCTGATGGAAAAACGTTCTCTTTTCACTCTGACCCTTTAATATTTGAAAATGTCATTGTGGGTAACTCACAGTCTAAGTTATAGAGAGTATATTATAGTCAAATTTTTATATTTGATTTTTAATGTATACTGGCTGTGTATTAGCTGTTCTTCTGAATATACAGGTTGAGTTTTTAAAATTATGTCCACAACCCCTATTTAAGCCCTGTTTAATCCCCAGTCTCTACACTTTTGATTCTAAAATCATTCCCTGCTCTTCCCTGTTGTGTGTGTGTTAAGTTGCTTAGTCGTGCTGACTCTCTGTGACCCTACCCACCAGGCCCCTCAGTCCATGGGATTCTCCAGGCTATAATACTGAAGTGGTTAGCCATTCCCTTCTCCAGGGGACCTTCCCTGGCCCAGGGATCGAACCCGTGTCTCCCACATGGCAGGCAGACTCTTTACTTCTGAGCCAGCAGGGAAGCTCCGCCCTGTTAAGATTTGTATTTAAGGATCCTGCTGGTTGTCTTGCCCTTTGGTACCTCAAGCACTTCAAAATTGTGATGGCCCATTTTGAATTACTTTTCCTTTTATTGTCCCTGTTCCTTCTGCTGTGTTTCCTGTTTAATTGCTGGTACCATCCACCCAATGAGGGTCTCTGGTCTCCGGTCAGCCTCGAGCCCTTCCTTTCACTTACCACACCAACTATGTAGTCGGCGGTCCCGGACGGTTCTGCCTCAGGTGTCTTTTCTTTCCATCGCAGTCTGACTCTGCCTCAGTCTTTCCTTACTAGCTCAAAACAAAGTTTCTCACTGGGCTTCCCTGTCAAACCTTCCCTCTCTGCCCCTAGGTCTTTCTGCGCATGTAAGTCAAACACCAATCTGCCTAAAAACCTTGACGTACTCCACACTGCTTTAAGAACAAGTCTTTACAACTTCTTTCCCCCCTGGATTCCTCTCTTCTACCTGTCTATTCTCTTGACCCCCTTCCAAATGTAGCTTTAGCTGATACCAGCAGCACCTCTGGGAGCTGTGCTGGTCTTGTTGCTGTGTAAGGGGCGAAGGCTTCTCTTGTTGCTCCAGGACAAGCTCTGGAGCCTGAGTGCTCAGTAGCTGCGCCAGACTCGCTTCCCTGATGGGCTTAGTGACCCTGCGGCTTGTGGGATCTTAGGTCCCCAACCAGGGATCGAACCTGTGTCCTCTGCATTGGAATGCGGATTCTAAACCTCTGGACCACAGGGGAAATCCTAGTCCTGTGGATATATCAAATGTTTTCACACTAAGTTTTTTTTCTGTTTTGATCTTCATTGTTTGACTCACCTTCTGTCTTCTCATCTTTGCCCTTCCAGAAGTAAAAATCATTTCTTCTGTGTCCTGTCATAGTACTTTTTAATTCTTTTTTGCCATCCTTTGATAATGTCACATTGTGATCAGTTGTCTATGAGAGGCTTTCTCAGGCTAAATTATTAATTTCTCAAGAGAGAGTCTGCTTCCCTCTCCTGTGAAAAGTATAACTGTTTTGGAGTTTGAAACTTAATAAGTGCCCTATTAATATGTGCTGAAGTTGGGATACATTGAAATGTATTCAGATTCTCATTGGTGCAATTACTGCACCAAATAAATGGAAAAGTAACAAAGATTAAAGCAGAACTCCATTGCCAATTTTTTTTCTTGAGAGCAAGGGATTTAAATTTATGACAGACACAGGAATTCCCTTGAAACATCAGATAATAATGAATGGCAGTATCATCTGAAAATTGCTATTTATTCAAATTAGATCCGCCAAAATATTGTCACTGGCATTTGTTATCAATCCATTGTATTGATGATTTTAAAATAAGAACTAATTTCTGTCCAGGTTGTCTTTGAATTGATTGGTTTGCATGTATTGATTGGTTAGCATGAATTGATGAGAAATAGGATAAAAATACTAAGTTAAATACATGCTAAAAAAAGTGTCGACTCTGTTCCCTATTGCAAGAGACGTGGAAAGAGAAACTAATACACATGAAATAATTAGGTGCTAGACTAGTTGAGATTGATTATAATAAACAAAAAGAAACATGGGACAAGGGAAAATTGTTATTACCTGAAGAAGTTGTGAAAGTCTTACTAAGAACTTATTATATCTGAAACCAATATAATATTGTAAATCCATTGTCAGTTCAGTCACTCAGTCATGTCCAACTCTTTTCGACCCCATGGACTGCAGCACGCCAGGCTTTCCTGTCCATCATCAACTCCTGGAGTTTGCTCAAACTCATGTCCATGGAGTTGGTGATGCCATCCAACCATCTTACCCTCCATCGTCCCCTTCTCCTCCTGCCTTCAATCTTTCCCAGCATCGGGGTCTTTTCCAGTGAGTCAGTTCTTCATAGCAGGTGGCTAAAGTATTAGAGTTACAGCTTCAGTATCAACTATACTTTAATTAAAAATGAATTAATTTGAATGGTTCTTGAAAAATAGATAAGGATTACATGCATGAAAATAAGGAATTCCATATGAAGTAAACAACATGGATCAACTGACAAGATTTCTGTGTTTTGAAGGCCAAAATGCAGTTAATAATTAAAGCAGGAATCTGTGGTTTACCTCTATAATATGAAGTTATTCTGTTCTGCTTTGTTCTTGTCTCACAGGTGGATCGGATATTGAGTACCTAGACTTCTATAAGCCTGTTGTGTGGTTTTGGATCCTTGTAGGGCTTGCTTACTTCGCTGCTGTCCTGAGTATGATTGGAGACTGGCTCCGAGTGATATCAAAAAAGACAAAGGAAGAGGTGAGAAATAAAAATGTGTGTAAAAATCTGATTTAACTAACTCAGTAGAGGTTGCTTTTAATGTCTTTTTTCTAGATACTAAATATTTACTTATTCATTTAAATATTTAAAAATATTTAAACATTACTTAAAAATTTTAATGTTTATGTTTGGTGTGCATTTGCTACAGGAAGCTATCAATCATATGAGGTGTAATTCATTGACTTAACCAAAACTTACTAAATACCACTCCATGTCAGATGATATCTTGGTGCTGAGAGTAATTTGTAATGAAAAAAAGATGCAATTAAAGACATTTTATTCATTATTTCTTTTTTTCTTGATTTCCTCAATAACATAGAGTAAATTTTATTCCATAAAGAGACAGTAGGAAATATTTGTGTCAATATATCAGTAGCATGAAAAAGTGAAGGTAATATATAATATTGAATTCTCATTGTATTCAATTATTTCCTTTTCTCTTAGGTCTGTATAAGTTTGTACACATGCATATGTACACATATGCATGTATTCCCCAAAGTTGCTTACATTAGAACCCATTATCTTGTCTATGGATTTCAGCTGTTCAGAAAGATACCCTTTTATCTTTTTGGTGCAACTGTATATACAGAAATGACCATTAGAATTTTTGATTCGAGATTTTGGAAAGTTTGAAATTTCACTCTTGACTAAAATTCCTAAACAGAATTACTTTTAATTTATTTTGAAAAGTCCAGAACTACTAGTTTAAGTGTGACAGAGTAGTGTTTTATTATGAATTCTGTATTTTTTTGTTCTGAATCTTAGGCAGCTTTATTAATATTTTTTACAACACAACAAATTCATAAGACTTGCAAATATAGTATCCACAGTCTTCCTTTAATTATTCCCTCCCTTTCATTATCTGGTGTTCATAGACCAAGAGACATCAGTGTTAAAATCTTTGATTGATAACAGCAATCGTGAGTCTTTAAACATACGCCTGAAAGAAACTAAGATAGACTAAGATAATAAATGATAAAATTAATTTCTCTCAACAAACAAGTATTTTCTTTGAACACATCAAGACATTTAAATTTCTTACTAATATCCAAGGTGCCTATGGTAATTAGAAGGAGTATAAGTTATCCAACATTTCCCTTCATGGATACCATCTTTCTCAGTTGGTAATTCATATATTCAGTCTGTGTGTATTAATCTGTATCTTAGTTACACCATTAAACCAAAAACTTTATTATAAACATATCAGCAGAACAATGTGCTTGACATTCTAGTTTAAATCATGTGAAAAGTACTTTGAATAAGACCTCAACTGATTTGCCTCAGTCTTATTGTGTGTGTGTTTGTGTGTGAGAGAGAGAGACAGAGAGAGGGAAGGATAGAATAAGGTGGAGAGGGAGAGAATTATGGTTATTTTAACTTCAGTGTACTTTTAAGGGTCTTGAGATGTTAAGGGGGACAAAAGAAATTGTAACTAGGAAATATGCTAGATAACATAGCTAAAAAAGCAACTTTCAAACTTCTAGTATAAGCGGGCATTAAAATGCATTTTTAGAACACACACAAACATTTTTTTCTAAGTAAAATAGAGTTGAACAGAGAATATCTCTGTTAGATAGTTTAAAAAGTATTGTTTTGTGGAAATATATATTTCCACATATATATATAGTAAATGTATGTATTCTATACATACACATACACACATATATGTGCATATATATACCCACTTACAGACACACACACACACACATACTAAGATTATTATGGATCACACTCCAAAATTTGAAAGCTACCAAGGCACATATAGGGCGAAATTTTATCTTTATGCCACTGGCAAAATATGTTTGGTTAGAGTTTAAAAGCTCGTATTATTAAAAAAAGAAAAACCAGTGCTTTTTGCGGTAGGATTAGCTAGTACAAAGCACTAGCACGTTTTTTCCAGAGCAGTGAGATAATCATCTGTATTACTCTCCTTGGGCTGCCATAGCGAAAGTGACTTAAACAGGACTGTTTCTTCACAATTCAGGAAGATGGGAGTCCTGGATTAAGGTGCTGGTTTCTGGTGAGATCTCTCTCCTTGGCTTGCAGGTGGTGCCTTCTTGCCGTGTATTCATAGGGCCTTGCCTCTGCACATGTGCCTGTAGAGAGAGAAGGTTCTAGATCGCTTTCCTCTTCCTACAGGGATACCAGTGCTGTTGGATTAGGGCTGCACCCTTACGACCTCACTGAACCTTGCATGTGTATGCGTGAGTGCTAAGTCACTTCAGCCATGTCTGACTCTTTGTGACCCTGTGGACTGCAGCCTGTCAGGCTCCTCTGTCCATGGGATTCTCCAGGCAAGAATCCTGGAGTGGGTTGCTGTTCCCTTCTCCAGGGGATCTTCCTGACCCAGGAGTGGAACCTGTGTCTCTTATGTCTCCTGCATTGGCAGGGGAGTTGTTTACCACTAGCGCCACCTGGAAAGCCCCACTGAATCTTAATTACCCCCTTTAAGGCTCTGTCCCCAAATACAGTGACAGTGGGGATTAGGGCTTCAACAAAGGACTTGCTGGAGGACTGGATCCAGGCTTTAACACAATCGTTTCAAAGAAATTTAAATTTCTACATTAACTGGCTTATTTAATATGAGAAGCAAGTTTGTTTGCCTCCCTTTGAATGATCTTCTTGATTCTCAGCCAGAAGTGTGAGATGTATCATTGTGTGTTTCCAACACTGAAAAGTAGAAAGCGCTTTTCCTCTCTTACCATAAGTCTTTTGGCTTGTCCCTCATCTTTGGAGTGACATATCCTTTCTGGTGACTGCATTTGGAGAAAGCTCATGTGAGTAAAGGCCATGAGCAAGTTTACGGAAACCCGCTGGAGCTGCAGCTGCTCCAGACAGTTGAGCCAGTTGCAATGGAACTGTCACTTTGAGCAGATGTGTGTTTTCTACTTTGTAATGCAGTTTAGGGAAATGACAAAAGTGGGTCACAAATTCAACAGAGAATGTAAAGAGAGAAAGGGAGAGATGATTTATAATTGTGAAGAAAGAAAGAGAAAGACAATTTATAATCATGAGTGTATAGATTGTTAGGGCCAAAATTTTTATAAAGGAAATATGACTAAACATTTCTACAGCAGTGGAAAAAGATTATTGAATAAGTCTAATCTTGAAATAACTCACTAAAGTTAAATAATTAAATAAAAACCAAATAACTACATCCTAGGAGTCATCTTTACACACACAAACTATATTGGGTGACTGCTCACTATGTGTTCATTACCTTTTGTATTTAAACCATTTCAAATGCTCCAACTTTTAAAAACTGCCTAAGTGTTCAGAAACAACAAGAATATTTCTAGTTTTCAATTCCATGAGAATGCTAAATAATTTTTGATAACTTGGAATCCTTGCTATTAAAAATGTCACTAGTACAGGACATTAAAAAATCAAAATAATATATATTAGAAATTTTTCAAGTGGTGATACAAAAACACAAGCTTTCCCTCCCACGAAAGATTCTGGCTAATAGTAAGTTCCAGTCTTACATTAGTTTTTCAAAAACAAATCTCTTTAAATCATATCAGGTAAGTGTAAACATAGAGCTCTAATCGTATTTCTGTTTTTTTTTTTTTTTTAAATCTTAAAGTTTGTTCTGTTTCCAATGAAAATCAATTTTAATGCAAATATATTTAGGAGTAAGGAAAAAGTTTTTGATGAGCATGCTGAAATAAAACGTTGATACAGCTGATCTATCTGAAATGTTTGAGAGGAAAGGGTTGAGACAGAGAGTCGCATTGGCATGTATACACTACGGTGGGTAGTGAAACAGATCGCTAGTGCGAAGCCGCTGTGTAGGGCAGGGAGCTCAACTCAGCGCTCTGTGGTCGCCTAGAGGGGCGGGCTGGGGGGTGGAAGGGGAGGCCAAGGAGGGAGGGGGCACACGTCTACATGCAGCCGATTCACATTGTTTTGCAGCAGACACTGACACAGCCTTGTAAAACAACTATATTCCAATTAAAAAGAGAGTTAGTTGGAGCAACGCTGTGTAGTTTCAGAACTGTCACATATAATTATAGTTGATCTGCGTTCCTCAAGGAAAAGAATAATGACCTCAATCATTTTCCCATGGAGTCATATGCGTTTCTGTAAAAGGATTTATCTGTTTCATTATTTCTTAAGCTCTAATGGAGAGTAACAATATTCAGTACTGAGAATTGATATGACTAATTATCTTTTTCTGTGAAACCATGTACCCTCTTCTGAGGAAATAATGTTTCCATTTAGAAAATAAAGTTTATTTATATATTCTAAATAACACAATAATACTGATATCTGAGGCAGGTAAAATAAAAATAAGATGTGGCCACGAAATTCAGAAGGTAAACTCCTAAGCAGGCAGGGGATACTGCATCCTTATGTACAGATGTAGTTCAGTTTGCTACTGCTGGCTTTCCTTGAGTTTGAAAGACCTGTAATTTCTATATCGTTCTTGTACTGACGTACAGGTACCACAGCTTGTTGGGATGGTCTCGTCCATATGTGTGACGAATACCACTTCAGCCCCTGTATCAGCTGCCTCTGTTCTCTGGAGGCCAGTGGCACTCTTGTTGTTGGTTAATGGCTAAGTCGTGTCTTGACTCTTTGCAACCCCTTGGACTGCAGCACACCAGGCTTCCCTGTCCTTCCATATCTCCTGGAGTTTGCTCAAACTCATGTCCATTGAGTCGGTGATGCCATCCACCCATCTCATCATCTGTCATCCCCTTCTCTTCCTGCTCTCAGTCTTTCCTAGGATCAGGGCAATAAGTTGGCTTTTTGCATCAGGTGGCCAAAGTACTGGGACTTCAGGAAAAGTCCTTCCAATAAATATTTAGGGTTGATTTCCTTTAGAATCGACCAGTTTCATCTCCTTGCGGTCTAAGGGCCTCTCAGTGGCACTGTAGCTAGCCACACTGAATAGATACCCAGGAGTTGCCTTTTTTTTTTAACCAGTGTACTGTGATGTGCTTCGTTGTTCAGTCACATCTGACTCTTTGCAA